CGTCAACTTCCTAGCTAAACCCTTGGCCGCCATTTCATGGCGGCCTCCTCTGTTCTTCCTAGTTCAGACTTTAACAAATTCCTCCTGGCAGCTCTGTTTCTGCGCAGTCCGTATCCCCCTAGCGTTAGGGGACACGATGGTTGCGATAGGAAGTGACGATGACGGTGGGGAGGCTCCCGCCGAGCCTGCTACAGCAAACCGCACTAGCGGCGTTACTGGATTAGATTTTCTTCGGAAGAGTCCCCACGTCGCTGCTCTGCTAGATCCCGTTCCTACATCGCATACCCCCGCCACTGCATCGCGTTCTTCCGCCGCTCCATTCCCAACACCCGCCCCTGGAGCGCCACCTCATGCTACTGCATCGATGCCTTGTATACGTTCAGTAGAGGTCGTGGCAGAGGTATCTCGCCCCGCTGTGGCGTTGACGTCGCGGCGCAGCACTCCGCGAGAGATTTCGCTGACGCATGGATCAACTGGCATCGGCCCACGGTCGAAGAAGTTGGAGCCATCACGACATCGGCAGGCCACGCTCAACTTCGGTCGCACCCAAGAGTCACTGCACCCACGCTCCACGTTATCCCCCCTGTCATTCCAGAACCTTCTCCTGCTCCCGCATCGTCCTCCGAATCCGAGCTTGAAGATATTGCAGAGCATCAAGAGGCTCTTTGGCAGTACAAGAAACGTTGGAGCACTGACTTCCCGTGGCTTGTCCTGTGTTAGACGCATGCAGGTTTTCCGGCTCAAAAGTGCCGCATCTGTACGGAACACGGTGGCATGGGCACGAACTACGGCAAGGGAGGGGAGGGGGCGACTGATGTGCAAACTCAGGCCATGGAGAACCACCAGCGCACACGTAAGCACAAGCGGGCGATGCGGAAGCAAGTTACCGCCAATGCGATCGCGGAGGGACAGCTGCGCATGGAGGACATGCCGAGAACCAATAGGATCCAGCGAGAACGTGTCACGGCACTGCGTGAGATGCTCTTGTTTATTTGTCAGTGTGATGCGCCCATTGAGATGTGGGTCCAGTTGGTGCGCCACCTCTCCAAGCGACGAACTCTGGGTTTCCACAAGCGCGGCTATGGGTTCTACTTCACCACGTAAGTCCCTTTGTCTTATTTCTACAACTCACTGTATGCTCTTGACGGGCACTTAATGACATGCGTGTTGCGTCTGCGTCTTGCGCATGTATGGATTTCAAGAGCTCACCAAGTCCACCGCGATCTACATGCGAGCTCGTCAGAGGGAGTATCTCGAGTCAAGCCCTTTCATCGGTCTGAGCTGCGATGAGAGCACGGACAGGGTTCGTGGCAAACACATGATTGTGTCTGCCACGTTCCTACAAGAGCGCATCGTTGTGATAGAGTTCCTGACCCTTTTACCTGTCGACAAGTGTGATGCAGCCTCGTTGGAGGCTTCTCTGGTCACCTACCTTGACAGCATCGGCCTCCCCTTGAACACAGTGGCGGGCATCAGCACCGACGGTGCAGCCGTGATGGTCGGAGCAACCAATGGCGTCATCGAACGCCTGCGACAGAGAATCCCGCACCTCGTGTCGTTACATTGCATTGCGCATTGGTTCGTCACGTAATGATTGATCATCATCTCATATTGAATCTCGGCCACACTTACTCATGCTCTTTATGCTTGTTCCTTTCCTCCCCCCTATCAGGGAAGCTCTGGCAGCAAGGGATGCCGCCATCGCGTTGCCGGAGCTTGGCATCGTCGACGCTATAATCCGAGCAGTGGCTTAGCTGCTGGGGCGGTCACACAACTGGCACGCCATGTTCAAGGAGCTGCAGAAGATCTTCACCGCCACAAATTTGGAGATGCTGGGGATACATCTCGGTCGCTGGCTCAGTCGAGGCGCAACGATTCTCAAACTGGTTGCAGTTCTTCCCGCCGTCATCGTCCTCCTTCACCTTTACGACAAGCCGATGTACCACATCGTGACGTCTTACAAATTCCATTTCTTCTTATACTTCCTGGCTGACGTGCACGAGGAGCTGAACACGCTCAACCAACTATTCCAAAAGCGAGAGGTGCGTTAGCCGCCGCGTATATTGACCTCTTGCCCCTAAACCCAGACTTACAGCTTCTGCATGTCTTCTACCCCCCACCTCCCCCCTCAGGTGGACCTGACGGGTGTGCAATCTTAGGTCCGACGGACCATCGTCTTCCTTCGTTCGTGCTACATCAATCGCGGGCCCAACTGCAGCGCCACCAGCGCGCGACTGTCTCAGTTTCTTGAGCACCACAGCAGCAGCCGTGAGGTCATCGTGACTGGAGTCGATGCGGAGGGCATGGAGCGTGTGCATCAGTTCGAGCTGCACGAGCAGCCGCTCTCGAAATACACCACTGCCCGCGGGGACCAAGCGTCGTGCAACCTATGCGTCGGAGCTCGTCTACAACGTGCAGCTCCGGCTCGGCGATCTGGAACGCCTAAACGAGGCGAAGCTATGGATGCCTCGCTCCTGGCCGCGAAACACAAAGGCGCAGAACGAGGAGTGTGCCGAACACTTGGACGGAGTCGTCGAGCTGTTTCATGCCGCGCGGAGATCCTGCCAGGTAAGGTCATCTGCATGTTCGTCCCACTGTATGCATGTGTTGCTGTGCTCTTGGTGTCTTTGCTTGAGTTCCTGATGGATTTCTATGTTTTCTGTGAAACTGTTCATGTGTGGCAGGTGTAGACAAGCGCCTGGCGCGGAAAGAGCTTGGTACCCTCCTTCCGGTACTTGCAGGTGTACCAAAGGACGAGCAGCCCTTCCATGCTGGTCTCGCCGCCATCCTCGAGACCAGTGATTGGCCACGCAGCTACCCCAACCTTGTACGATTGTGGGTGGCTGTGGCGGTGCTTCCCCTAAGCACTGTCGAGTGCGAGAGGGGATTCTTGCGTCAGAATATCATCAAAAGTTGGAATCGCACAAGTCTCTGCAATGGGAAGCTGGAGGATCTAATGTGTATGAGTTTGCTGGATTATAACATGGACTGGGACAAGGTCATTGACGTATGGCGTGGCCTCAAGAAACCCAGACCGAGGAGGAGAGCCTTTCAAAAGGAAGTCCGCCCCAAGAAGACGGCCAAGGGAAAGGAGAAGGTGGTAGAACTGTCTGAGAAGGAGGAGCATGAGGTAGAGGAGGACAGCTGTGCTAGCAGCGGGTTTAGCTCCGGTGATGATGATGATGGGAACTTCTAGTGTTAGAGCTTTGTATTGCTGTTGAAGTGTTGCTGTCGCTGAGGTTTGTGCGTTCTGGGGGTGCTTGGGAGCATGCCGGAGCGGGTACTGGAGCGGGTTCCCATTCTGGGGGTGCTGGCGTGGGGCTTCACAGAGGGAGCCGTGGTCCTGCTGGAGGTTCTGGTGTTGGCGTCGAGCAGCAGTCGTCGCCGTCGTCGCCGGTGTCCGCTCTTCTCCTCCTCGGCCTCCCTTCTCTTGACCGCCCGCCGGTGCCTCCTCGGTCGCCACCGCCTCCACCTCTGCCGGTCTACGGCCCTGTGTTTCCTCCAGTGGACTCTTCTCCGGCTCGGTTCCCTCCTGTGTCTCCTCCCCTGTCTCCTAACCGGACTCCTCCGTCTCACGTCTGGGCTCGTCGTCCGTCTCGTGCTCGTCCTACCTCCCCTGTCCTGAGTTCTCACCCTATGTTGCTTCGCTCTCATGCGTCTCGTGCTCCTCCGCTCCTCCCGTCTCCTCCTCTGTCGTCGCTCGCTGTGGCTCCGCCTCCGTTTTCTGACTTCCTCCGTGCCGCGCGTCCCTTGTTTCTCGTGTCCTTGCCTCTCTTGTTACCGACCCGTCAGTTCTTGTCTCTAGTTCATCGACTCTTGTTGCTGCTGCCACTGACTTCGCATCTACCCGCCGCCTTGACTACGCCACCGCTCTGGTCTCTTACCCTGCCTGCCCTCCGTCCGTCGGGGTGTGGCTGCCCTTGGAAGTGACGTCCTAGAGGACAGACAGTACGAGCTTGCTTTCTTGTCAGAGGCGGCTCCCCATCTCTGTTCCATGCTGCTAATCTTTGAGGGTGACCCAGACGCCCTTGACATCCCGACCCCTCGCACTTACGCTGAGGCCACCTCGGGACCTTGGGCCTCTTAGTGGATAGCTGCCATGGAGCAGGAGATGACATCTTGGAGATCCACCGGTACCTTTGTCGACGCAGTTCCCCCACCTGGGGTGAACGTAGTCGATGGGCGATGGCTCTTGAAGGTAAAGCGCCCTCCTGGAGAGCCGCCTGTCTTCAAGACGCGCTACGTTGCTCGTGGCTTTAGTCAGCGTGAGGGGGTGGACTTCTTTCAGACCTTTGCCCCGACCCCGAAGATGACTACTCTTCGGGCACTGCTACACGTAGCAACTCAGCGTGACTACGAGCTGCACTTAGTCGACTTCTCCACAACTTTTCTTCAGGGCAGTCTACGCGAGCATGTCTACTTGCGCCGTCCCCAGGGCTTCTCCAGTACCTTTCCCCCTGGTACCGAGTGGCTCCTCCAGCGCCCCGTCTACGGCCTGCCCCAAGCGCCCTGCGAGTGGCACGACACGCTGCGTGCTACACTTGCTGACTTGCAGTTCTTCCCGTCGGCTGCAGTTCCTTCCTCGCTCTTCGTCCGTTCCGGCCAGACTCCGTTTTACATCCTTGTTTACGTAGACGATCTGGTCTTTGCTACTGCAGACCTAAGTTGCACTAAACGCGTATGGCGTTTTATACGCTAGCATATATACGCTATACGTTTTTTTGGGGTCTAGTATACGCTAGGTATACGCTTGTCCGGGCAGGTGAAAAAATTTACCCCGGGCAGGGAAAAAAATCGCGCCTAGGGAGGGGGGAAAGAGGGGAATGTAGTGTGAGGCATAGATTTTCATTGCAACATGTAACAGAGAACAAATTTAAGCCTTTAAGGCATAAATAACTGACATGTCAAGGTTTCCCCCAAAGCCCCTTCCCTTCCCTCAGCCAAGTAAATACTACCCCGCTAACACACTCCCACGTCCCCCATCTCCCCCAAGTGCATGCTTGCCAAACATGCAGCACATCCCCCTAACCCTCAGCCTCCTCCTCCTCCTCCTCCTCCTCCTCCTCCTCCTCCTCCTCCTCCTCCTCCTCCTCCTCCTCCTCCTCCTCCTCCTCCTCCTCCTCCCCATACTCATCATGCAGGACTGCCTCATCCTCCAGGTCATCATCCACCAGCTCCCCCTCCGCATCCACATTGTAGCCCGCCGGGGTGGGGGGCTCTGGGATGTTCCCGGCGAGCACCACCTTCTCCTCCTCGCTGGACAGGTGCCAGTTGTGCACAACGTTCCAGTTGTGCGCAACGTACACCAAGTCCCTGCTTTTTTCTGATCCGAGCCGGTTGCGGCGCGTAGAGTGCACCGACTCCCACACTGACCATCCGCGCTCGCAGCTGGCAGCAGATGCCGGCTGCGTGAGCACACGGCGTGCCAGCGTTGCAAGCTCGGGACAATCGGTGCCATGCCACATCCACCATTCCTCCATTGTCATCGTCCCCGCCTTCACGTCCGCCCTTTGCTCGATTGCAGTAGGCATACCAAAGCTCCCCCTCATTTTCAAGAACGCCGTGACCCCTTGCTGCAGAACAACTACCGCGCTCTTGCCGTTCACCTCTTTCCTGGAGATGGTGATGCTCTTGCTGTAGTCACTGATAAATGCCTTGAAAAGCTTGGTGCACTCAGTGTCTGGGCCAAAAATTTTCTCTGTTTGGTTGGCCGGATTGAGGATCCGGCCAACCGCATGCATGGGGCAAGCCATGCTCTTGTCCCACCGTGTGAGAGTACGACCCCGTTACAGCACTTGTCCCTTTTCATATTTCCTTCCTCTTTTTATCTCATCTCATTTGGTTTCCTATTCTCCATTTTCCATTAACCTTTGGTTTATCCTACTATTATAGTTATATCACCGACCAGGCTTGGGATGTACTGGTGCGCTATCTGGCGTAATCCTGCCGTAATCCCTTAAAGCCAATAGCCTCGCGTGGCTATACGCAGGGTGATTCGATCTTCTAGAAGGGTCTATTCCCTTAGGATAAGATAAACCTGGTTACCTGATGTACTTTAGAAGTATAAAAGCGCCTTGTACTGATCGATAGTGCAACCTTTCCTCGACACATTCGATCCTGTGACACTTGGTAATCAGAGCTTTTCTCACTCGACCGCGCTCAGCTAAGCAGCAGCAGCGGGGATCCTGCCTCGAAAATTTGCCGGGGGCGACCAATTCGACGCCGATTCTGGTAAGCACCAGCTCCGCGTTTTTTCGAATTACCCCCTCCGCGCATGTTTTTACACAGGATGGCGAACCTCGACAATGCCGAGGTTACCCAGCAGCTCTTCGCGCGCATCGCAGCCCTTCAGGAGGAGATGCGAGCGGACCGCGAAGCGTGGCGAAACGAGTTCGAGCGAGTAACTCGACTCGCCGGAGCGCAACACGAAACGACAACGGCGACGACGCAGCAGTCGCAACAGTTTCTCGAGGCTCCGAAACCGCGCCCACGTGAGCCGTTCGATCCGAGCGATCGAAACTCCGACGTCCGCAGATGGATCGCCGGGATGGAGATCTACTTCGCAGCCGTCGGATGGAGCTCGCCAGTCTGGGATGGTCAACGCGTACGACTCGCGGAGACACTTATGCGAGGGCCGGCACTCGAGTGGATTGGCGGCAACAGTACCTTCATCCACGGTGAAGCCACGTGGCAGCAGTTCCGCGCCGACCTGCTGAAACGATTCGAGCCGATAAATTCGAGTTTACTTGCCCGGGAAAAAATTCATCGACACCGACAGTTCAGGAGTGTAGCGCAGTACACGCAGCAGATGGAGGAATTTTATAACCGCATTCCCGACCTGACTGAAAGGGGAAAAAGTACAGTAGTACCTCGCCGGGCTGAAGACCGAAGTCAAACGACAGGTGGCAGCCTCAAACTACGCGAGCTACAGTGACGTCGTATCGGCCGCGGAGCGCTTCGACATGGTCAACGCCGGAACACGACGGACGCACGTCGGCAGTAATCGACCGACTTCGGGAAGAGTACAAGCCATCAGGATTCTCTGCAACGATGGTGGACGGCAGCAAGTTACCAGTATATGGCGAAGCAGTGCTACACCTACAAATCGGGCCACTGCGCTAGAGACCTGCTCTCCCCATCACCAACATAAAAGGGCTTGACCTGATCTTCAGGCGAGACTTCCTGAAAAGATTCAACCCTGAGATGAACTGGGTGAACCGCACCGCAAACATCTACAATTATGGACGGAGAGTACAGCTACCCAACTGGGACGATACAGGAGATATCCTAGTGGAGACACTCGCCAGATTCGAGAAGGACGTGAAGCGAACCGACACCGGGTTCCTGGCGATAGCAACAGAGGTGGAGAACGACAGAGAGAAGACCTCGGAACCTCCGGGAAACATCAAGGAATTATTGAAGGAGTTCCAAGACATTCTTCCTGACGATCTTCCGAACGAGCTACCGCCATACCGAACGCATCAACACGAGATCGTGGAGGAACCAGGTTCGAAGCCGACCTTCCGAGCACCATATCGGCTCAGTCCTACAGAGCTGACCGACATGAAAAAACAGATCGAGTATCTCCTAGCCAAAGGACTCATCCGGCCATCCACTTCGCCATACGGTGCCCCGGTACTCTTCACACCGAAACCGGACGGAAGCCTACGCATGTGCATCGACTACCGAGCTCTTAACAAGCAGACCATCAAGAATAAATATCCGATACCGCGAATCGATGACCTGCTTGACCAGCTTCGGGGAGCTACGGTATTTTCCAAACTGGATCTGCGGTCCGGATACTAGCAGATACGGATGGCGGACAACTCTATTCACAAAACTGCTTTCCGAACTCGGTATGGATCATACGAGTATTTGGTAATGCCGTTCGGACTCACCAACGCACCGGCAACGTTTCAAGCCGAAATGAACCACATTCTACGACCACTTTTGGAGGAGTGCGTGGTGGTGTACCTGGACGACATCCTCATCTACTCACGCGACATGAAGCAGCACATCGAGCACCTACGACGCGTCTTCGAAATTCTTCGACGAGAACGGTTCTACGTCAAACTGTCCAAGAGCGAATTCGCCCTTGAGAAGGTCCAGTTCCTAGGACACCTGGTGAGCGCTCAAGGAGTTCACGTCGACCCCAAGAAAATTGAAGCTGTACGTACGTGGAAGACACCCGAGAACGTGAAGGAGTTGCAGCAGTTCCTAGGCTTCGCTAATTATTACAACAGGTTCGTGCCACAGTATGCGAAACTCGCAGCACCCCTCACAAATCTGCTGAAGAAGAACACGCCCTATAAATGGGAACCAAAGCACCAGGAAGCCGTGGAGCAGCTGAAACAAGCACTCACGTCCGCACCGGTACTCATCTTGCCAGATCCCGAACGCGACTACGTAATCGAAGCTGACGCCAACGACCAGGCAGTGGGGGCAGTCTTAATGCAAGACCAGGGGAATGGACTGCAACCAATCGCCTACCTCAGCAAGAAACTACATGGAGCAGAACTAAACTACCCGATACACGACAAAGAGGCCCTTGCCATCGTCATCGCCTTCAAAGCGTGGAGCTGTTATCTCGAAGGACGAAGAACAACCGTCTACACTGACCACTGCAGCCTGAAATACTTGAAGACACAACCCAACCTTTCCAGGCGGCAGGTTCAGTGGATCGACTTCCTCGAGACACACTTCTACTACGACATCGTGTACAAGCCCGGCCACAAAAACAAAGCAGACGCTCTTAGCTGGCTTGCATACGTTGCCGCCATTCAGATTGAAGGGATGAATCCACTACTCAAGGGACTCTTCACACACGGGTACGCCATCGACCCCGAAATCTCCTTGGCGGAAAAGCGACATTTGCTACAGTGGGACAATGACATCGCATACCGGAAAGGATCAACAAAAATCTGGGTACCCAATTACCCTCCTTTGCGCCAGTTACTACTCGAAGAATACCACGAAGTCCTGTATGCCGGACACTTCGGTAGCAACAAGACGCTCACCGGTATCGCCAAACACTACTACTGGCCCCACATGGCAGATGACGTACAGAAATTCGTCACCTCGTGTGATACATGTCAGCGGATGAAGAGCAGCAAGCAGAAAAAAGGCGGGACTACTGCAGCCTCTTCCTGTCCCAGAACAACCATGGCAAGTGGTTAGCCTGGACTTCATCACCGGGTTACCACCTACCACCAGCAGTCATGACGCAATCCTTGTCGTCATCGACAAGTTCTCCAAAATGGGACACTTCATCCCGACACAGACGACGGCACGCACCGAGGAGACAGCACAACTCTTCGTTCGTCACATCATCCCACAGCTTGGCATTCCAACCACACTCATTTCCGACCGAGACCCTAAGTTCACCAGCAAGTTCTGGAAGGAACTTATGTCTCTTCTCGGAACCAAACTCGCCATGTCATCCGCTTACCATCTGCAGAGAGACGGACAGACCGAGCGCCTCAACCAAATTGTTGAGCAACTCCTCCGCGCAGCCTGCAAGGACGACATCTCCAAGTGGGACTTGCATCTGCCCGTCCTGGAGTTTGCCTACAACAATGCCACACATGCCGCTACTGGACAGACGCCGTTCTTCCTCTGCTACGGATGCCACCCACTCACACCACAGAAACCGACCACATCCGCTACAGTACAACCTACCCATGATTTCATGACAACCATGCATCAGCTTTGGGATCGGACCCACATGCGCCTCATCCACATTCAGCAGCAACAGAAGCGCCAGGCCGATCGCCATCGCAACAACCACACCATCACGGTGGGAGACCAGGTGCTTCTTGACACACGCAACCTGGACATCAGCCACCTCCCATCTAAACTGCGACCTCGCTTCTGTGGGCCTTTTCTCGTTGAAGCACAGGTTACTCCTGTTACCTTCCGCGTGAAGCGAACCGACACCGGGTTCCTGGCGATAGCAACAGAGGTGGAGAACGACAGAGAGAAGACCTCGGAACCTCCGGGAAACATCAAGGAATTATTGAAGGAGTTCCAAGACATTCTTCCTGACGATCTTCCGAACGAGCTACCGCCATACCGAACGCATCAACACGAGATCGTGGAGGAACCAGGTTCGAAGCCGACCTTCCGAGCACCATATCGGCTCAGTCCTACAGAGCTGACCGACATGAAAAAACAGATCGAGTATCTCCTAGCCAAAGGACTCATCCGGCCATCCACTTCGCCATACGGTGCCCCGGTACTCTTCACACCGAAACCGGACGGAAGCCTACGCATGTGCATCGACTACCGAGCTCTTAACAAGCAGACCATCAAGAATAAATATCCGATACCGCGAATCGATGACCTGCTTGACCAGCTTCGGGGAGCTACGGTATTTTCCAAACTGGATCTGCGGTCCGGATACTAGCAGATACGGATGGCGGACAACTCTATTCACAAAACTGCTTTCCGAACTCGGTATGGATCATACGAGTATTTGGTAATGCCGTTC